GTACATGGCTGACAGCTTGCAAACTGGCAGCAGCCCAGAAAGCAGAAGGGAAGACACACGCATTCACCCTCACACGTGCTCACTTTTACAAACCGTCATGTTGCAAGTCCTTAATTCTCATCTCTCTAAACCCAACTCACCAACAAAGCAAGCATTTTGTCCTATTAGGAAAACTCCTAGTCCTGCAAAACGACAGGTTGTTTGGCAGTATGAAACAGGTTGTGGCTGCAGACTCTGCACATGGCTCGCATTTGTGCCATTGGTCTGTGGCTTTCAGGGAGCAACTGTTGTGCAGTGACAAAAACACAAAGAAAGAAGGGAAAGAAACCAAATATTTACAGGAGAAAAAGTGATTCTACCCCACATGGTACAAATTTAGGGCTGCATTGTAGCTACATCATGTGCCTATAGCTACTGAAACAGTTTCCAACAGAATGTTTACACTGTTGTCTGGAAGCATATTGTTTGCCTACTTTTCAAAGCCAATTTATATGCAGCACACATCGCAGCATGCACGAAAATTCAGACAAAAACACAGATGCATGCAACAATCCCTGGCCAACTCTTGTTGTTCCTCATTGTTTGTTTCTCAGAAGTACCCAGGAAAGAGGAGGAAGGTAGCAAAACCCATTATGCTGGGTGCTGTACTACCCCAAACTCAAAGACAGGTATTTCACTTGAGGAACATGCAGTCTCTGTTTAAGACAAGATACAAGAAGTAAATGTAGCAGAGAGTGAGGGAGTGACATACGGGAATGAATAATAAGAGTTTATGTGTGCCAGCTTTATGCGCTCATGTGCCAGCTAATTGAATACACGATGCATATAAATACCAGTCTTCTACTGAAGGCAACAAGCCTGATAAATAATAAGCTAACTGTAGCCAGTTAGCAATTTATCAGGAGCTTCACAGAGAAATTAATGAGAAATTTGAAGTAGTCCAGGCAAGGGCATCCCAGAGAAAAGTGTCAGGTGGGATAAACAGAAGGGCATGTAAGAAGGGAGCAGGAGCATGAAGGAGGTTGTTGTTGTTACATTATTTAGGCAGAAAAGCAAGAAGGCTTGGGTAAGTTGGTTGCTGAGAGGAAAGGATGTGAAAGTCCTGGATCAAAGAATAGAGAGTTTATATCTAACTTACTAAAGAAATCGTGGGACCCAGGAGGACTGCAAAAGGCAAAAGAGGATGTCACTGCACTTTGAATAGACCAGGCAGAATAAGGTCAGTGAGCAAAGGAATGCCTGAGTGAAAAGGGTCAGACTGCAGCTTATGTCACTGCAGGCAAAAGCCTTCTCAAGAAACAGTGTAGAGCCACCAAACCAATAAGAGTCCATGCTGGGAAGTATGGGGTAGGGTCTTCACATCCAAGGAAGAATGAAAGGGGGGAACACGCCCCAAACAAAGCAGAGGTAAGCACTGGCAACAGATGAGGAGGCAACAGAGACAGCCAGTGAGGCCTGCCCGAGGCTGTGTGCCATGGCCAGCTCAGGAACACGCTTTAATTTTAACAGCCAGCTCTACTGAACCACCTTCAGCCAAGGCCTGAAAGGACAAGTCGAAGAGAGGAAGTGAAAAGATGTATTACTCCCACTTCTTGAAGAGCTCCTTTGCAGAAGATCCCCCTCTCCCTACAAGTCATCAATGCATGGATCAGAGCCAAGTCTCCCACCTTAGGTGTCTTGAGATAGGTGGTGTGAAAACCACTCATCAGCGAAATTGCCTCTAAGTCCCTGTACTGCAGTTCCCTGTGTCACCACACAGACAGATGTCCTCTCCGCCTACCTCTGTGGCAGGAACTATTTATGTTCAATATTGTTTATAGACCCCAAAACCTCCATGGGGAAATGCCAAGTCAATAGGCTAAGGGCTGAATCTTTGTGTGCTTTTATTTTTTTCTACTTTTAAAAGTGATCTTTCTACAACTCTGCAAAGCCTCTTATTATTAAGAGAAGCACTGCCAGTGCCCCAGGGGCACTTCTGTACCTCACTTTCCACCATGCCCACCCACTGAGGCTCCCTCCATCCTGCCCAGAACCCCATGTCAGGTGCCAGGGCCATCAGCCCTGAACCAGTGATGCCACATCCAGCTCCCCACAGCCCTGCCCAGCTTTGGACTGTCTCCAGAGAGGTAGCCAGTGCCTGGGGCTGCCCTGATCCTGAAGGGGTAGTGGGATGGTCCCTGGCTGCCTGGCCTGCCCTGGTAGAACCATGTGGAGTCCCCACTGCACCCTGGCACCTGCCACCTGAGAAATATTAGCACAGGACAAAAATCAAAGGACAAGCTCAGCCTTGCCAGCACCAAAACATCCCAACCCAGCCCCTCTACACAAGATATTTTAAAGTTTTGAAAGTGCAGGGATGTTTCTGCTTTCCTTCTCATACTGAACTACCAAGGGCCAACCCAGTCATGCTCTTTCTACTCTGCTGTGACATTGAGTGGCATCCTGAAGAGATAGCTGCTGTCATGATCTTTCTCCCTCAGTAGTCACAGTTGGAGCCTAGTGCCAAGCCACACAGTCTGGGTCACACTGCAATTGAGCATGGTGGGCAACCAGAGCATCCCCACCTCCAGCTCACCACGGAAGCCTCCAGACCAGGCCAAATGTGGTTTCCAAATGGGAGAAAACTGTCCCCAGGAATCATAGAACCATAGAATTGTTTGGGTTGGAAGGGACCTTAAAGATCTTCTAGTTCCAAGCCCCCTGCCATGAGTAAGGACACCTTCCACTTGACCAGGTTGCTCAAACCTCCATCCAACCCGGCCTTGAACACTGCCAGGGATGGGGCATCCACAGCTTCTCTGGGCAGCCTATGCTAGCGTCTCACCACATTTACATGAAGAATTTCTTCCTAATACCTAACCAAAATCTTCACCTGAAAGCCATTGAAGCATTAAAGACATTGAAGGAAGGACTTGAGAACCACAATCAATTCCCCAGAATCCATTACTTGCATGCTAACATCAACTCCCTCCCTAAAAGGCAAGCTGAGGAGCCTCAAGGCCCATGCTGATAGCATTTCTTGATAATAAGTGGAGAGATATTCACCTTCATTGACACAAACACACAGATGAAGAGGGAAAAAATATTTTTTGCAGTATTTTCTTCTTCCTTTCTCAGCCAAATCCTTATTTGGTCTGTTGCAGATTATTCACACAGCAGCCCTGCCTGTAGTGCCTGATCTGATTACTGCACCAACGCCCCCATGGCTTTCAAATTCATTTCACAGGTTTCCAAGAAACGAATGCTCATACCTGATAAGTGGCAGCACCTGGATTCAAAACATGTTATCAGTTCATCTGCCTCCAATATCTTGAGTAACATCTCAGCTTGGTGAAAAAGTGTTGCCCTAACCAGCTAACATATTTTCATGCAGGGAAATAAAGCTCCCCTTCTGTACTTGTTGACACATAGACTCGCACCTTTGCGTTGTTCCTACTTAAGCATACAGAGCCCAAGTCAGTGCAGTGATCCTGTTTCAAATATTTGGTGCTCAGGGTTGCCGTTGCATTCCATCAGTTACCTATTTGTCACAAATAGCTTTGAATGGCTCTACAGAACAGCTGAGATTCTTTTAAACAGTTCTTTATTAAAACAAAAGCAATCATTTGCATACATGTTCATTTTGATTATCAGAGGACACAGACAGAGTTGCATATGTAAAAGAAGAAAATTAACCACATGAACTGCTTTCTTTGTCATTTCAGAGCTCTGAATTTCAGTGTTTTAGCTTGCTTTCTGACGTGATGAAAATAAGACATAGCTACAATGCACATATTCGGAAACTATCACACAATGCCAATTAGAAAAAAATTAAAACCATATCATATATTCAACTAGTTTGACCAGACTCACGTTTTCCACAAGACCTCTTACTTTGCTGTAAGACAGAATTGCCCAGGGAACAAATTGGAGCCTAGGTTAACAAGGCTCTCAGGAATCTAATTACAGAATGGCAAAAATGTTGAAAAGAGGCACATCAAACAGCACTTCTGTTATTCTACGGCAATGCATTATATACACCAAGAGCCACTCATGGCCAATAAAGTCAATGGGAGGATTTGCATAAACTTAGAAGAGCCTAAAGAAAAGGAAAACTGTATTCTTTGCACTGCTCTGGCTGGAAAACAGAGTATGTAGCTAGACTGTAGTAAGACCATTCGTAGGGCCAGGTTTAGACACACAGAATTAGTAAGGGAAGCAGAGCGGGACAGAAGGGAAATTTGATGAACACCATATTGCCAGTTTTACTTCCAGAAGCACTCCAATAGGGCAGCCTGGTATGGTGGCAGCCAGGAAGAGTGTTGAACTGCTTGGAGGAAGCTATAGGTGGGGCCCAGGGGCCACTGTCCCACTGCATCACTGCTGTCGAGGGCAGTGAGCCCAGTCCCTTCCACAATGCCCTCTCTTCCCTTCCTGTGGTAGGACTTACACAGCCCAGTACATTTTTACCCTCCCTCCTAAAGTCTTGAGCCAGATACTACTGATTTCAACTTACAAATGGATTGCTATCTTCCGACCAAGTCTACTTCCTAATCTATTTTAATCCTTGAATTAATTTCTCTGAGGCCTCATTTCACTCTGATAAAGATCAGTGGAAATTCATTCTGTTTCTGAGTGCCTTGCCTGTGTTACTCTGACAAATGCAAATCAGTGGGTAATTAGCCACTCAGTCACTAGATAGTCTGAGCCCAGCTATTTCTGCAAACAAAAAGCACTAAATCTATGCGCTGAATCTACCCCCAGAGACACAACTGTAAAACACTGACCACCAGTAAACACCAAGCAAAACCTAAAAAGCCCCATAGTGCCAACTGTTGCCAGCAATATTAATGCTCAGAGCCAGCAATCCCTTTAAAGAGTGTAAGTACCTGTATGACACCCCCACATACTATACCTCAGACCAGATGAACTCTGAACTGGCAGTAGCCTTGTCTAAAAGTCCATTTGATCTCTCATATTGGCTGCTGCCAGTTTTATCATATGCATATATTCCTGAGGTACTAAGGCTGAAAAGTGACATCATATCTTACAAGGTAACTATCACTGTAAACATACAGTTTCTGATCTGTGGGGCTATAATCAATACTCTGGATTGTATCTAACTTTTTATCCATAATGATGCTAATTCTACCTTCTTGGCCAGTGCTTGTGTCATACATGTAGAAGATCTCCTCTTTCTTAGTGTTCAGTGGCCTTGTGGCGTAAAGAACACCACATAACATGAAAGCATTGGAAACAGATGGCTTATACTGTCTCGTCTGCCAAGTATTTAGCACATCAAGTGTGGTCTCATTGAGCTTGCTAATCACAATGTTGCCCACGTTATTTTCAGTTGAATATATTACCCATAACCCACTTTCATCCACAGCAAAATCTATGTCCTGCCATGCTACGCCTGCATAAGAGAAGCGGTTACCAATAGCAGCACCTGGAAGCTCCTTCCTCAAAACCTCCCTGTTTGTTTTTATATCATACTTCACCATATATCTCGAAGAATAAGCATGATAGTACAAATGATTTTTATAAAGGGCAGCACCACTTCCTTCCCCATATGTTATTCTCCTTTCATACGTGTATTTAAAGAGCAGCAAATCATCAAAGGAACTATAAATTCTGAAGTATTCTAAGTATCTCCCATTGGTGTTCAGTGGTGCAACCCAATAGACTTCCTCCTCTGGGTTAGAGGGATTGTAATCTCTACCCCAGGAACCATATTTGTAGGAAAATCCTCTCCAGTTCAGCTTGACAACATAAGGCTGGCTAACATTCATTGGTCCACGGTGAACACAGGTACCTGTAAGTAAAAAGAAAAAAAACAAAACATACAGGTTTTTCCAAATGTCATGACTAGGAGAGAAGTTTTGCAAACCGTAGTCTCTAGATCATGCTTAGCAGAGAACAACTCTGTGACTAAGCACAGACATAAATGCACAGCTTCATGTGTAAAAGGATCATTTTGGGCCAAGGTCAGCAACTGGATGGCACCCAGTGTCCCAAGCTGACTGAAAAACTCAGAAAAAAAAAAAAATAGAGTACATATTATTACACTTATTTGAAAGAGGAGGTGGGGGATTAATTCACAGAAAGTAAATGCTCGCTGTGCTGTTCCATACAAGAGACAGATTTCTGTTTCGACCTATTTGAGGTAGGCCAGCCTGCTACATTAGGAAATCCCTTGGAAAATACAATTTCAGAAGCATTTTATGTTATTTTCTACCTCAGTGGAACTGAAAGTATGGGAGATGGAGGAAAAAAGAATGAGGAGCATCTGATTTCTGTGTATTTCACTGTGGAAGGGAAGAAAGGAGCAGCAGCAGTAGTAATTCCAGAGTCACATTTCAGATTAGCATTCTGCTGTCAGAATCACAGCTTTACAGCTGTGTCACAGCCACATGGTGCCTTCCACCTCAGGCCTTCAAAGAAATCTGCAGACAGTAACAATCACAGCCCAGGAAACATAGACTGATACTACTCTGACTTTTCATGTGGGGCAACTCTAAAGAAAATATGACTTCAAGCTGAAGCAGAACATCTCTGTTTTACACATATCAACCGCAAAACCATTTTTAGGATCATAGAAAAAAATAATTTTAATACAAGGAACAATTTCCTTTTACTCATGCTGAATTAGTAACATTCCTGTTTCCTGATAAATTCTCAATATTGTAAGTCACTGGTAGGAAAAAAACTCCACTCAAAAATGTCCCTGGGCTTCTGATGAGTGTGAAGCTGCCACTGGCAAAAACCAGCATGCACTTTTCCAAGTGTTAACATTAGCTTTTTGTATTACTGCCATAAAAGTGTCCCAGATTTTTCTCTGTAAGGTTATCTCCACCTGAGGTAATGGAGACAGAGATATCAAGTGGCTGGCACCAGCTCACAAGCTCACTACAACTAGTAGTACTCCAATGTTTCCCAGTTCATCAGGGTGGTTCTAGCCCTAGATAGTCTTCCTTATTAAAGATGGAGTATAATATGAATAGACACAAGTCTCACACATCAATTAGTGAATAAATTAGTGGCCATAAATGTTGGTGTTAATAATACTTCCCTCAAAACAGGAACTCTGCACTGACAGCTATGGTGCTGATGAAAGTCAAGATCATCTTTTGAGGTTTTAATACTTTGAGTGGGAACCATGTCACGATTTCTTGCAACTCTATTACAAGAATGGCCCATAAGCTCAGTCATATGAAAGGATGTCTGGCATATAAATAACTTCTGTCTTCTCACAAAGAAGAAAGAGGAATAACAGAGAAAGATCTTTTGCCCTCAAAGCTGACCATCCCTAAGCACGGCCAGACAATACTTATGCAGATGAAATGGAAACTCCTGAAACCATGGACAGAAAAAGTCCAGGAGACATTTTATTCTCAAAGGCTTTGCAGCCTGTCTCACAGAAAGAAGGAAAATTAGAGGCAGACCAATCTGAAGTATTCTACTTGGAAAAATACTGGGAAACAAGATAATTGGTGAAAAAAATGTACAGTTGCAAAAGCAGAGAAATCTTTTTCTTATCTACTTTGCACAGGAGAAAGGTGCTCTACCAGTGGGACTGGAAAACCTGTGTCCTGAATGTTACTAGTGTCCAAGCACTGACATTTGTGCCAATGTGTAAAGTCAGTTTGGGCAGTGAAGCTCTTCATGTCTCCCCCTTTCTCAAAATGTACTCATTTGTATACTCAAATGTATTTCTCTGCTTCTACTACATAGCACCTTCACTCCTCACAGTTTTGTACTGTCTTATGCTAGTGACTGTGACCTGAGTGACATGTGATTCACCAGCAGCCTCCTCTCAATATCTGTGAGGAAGGTGGGGAGCAGTTTTATATTAAATATAAATCACTATAATGAGATAAATCCTCGTGTCCCTCGGCTACACGTTGGCAACTTCCTTGGGTCAGTATTGCCAATGGGAGCAGCTCCTCATCACTGAGTCTCCATCTGATGGCAGAGAAGGTGGTACAAATTGTAAACACTCCCATCTCCTCCCCCAGACACTTTTGTGTCCTGGGTTTCTTGCAGCTGAAACATGGCATGACCCCGGTTGAACACTGCTTTCCTTCGTGCCACCAAGAATCCGTTCAAATCAGCATTCCTGGCTCGGAGCAGATGAGCATTTAAGCATGCACTTAAGTGCTTTACAAAGGACGAGGCCCTGGAGCAGAAACCTCATTTCCAAATATAGCACACAAGGCAGGCACTGCTGTATGGCTGGCCAGGCTGTATCTGTGGAAATGGCACGTAGCATGTCTAGTAACATGGCCTCAGCACTTGGCACAGCTACCAGCATTTGGAGGTGCTTACACCTCAGCTCATGCAAAGGAAGAAAGCTAAGGCAGCCAGTGCAAAATGGCTTGCAGCCTGCCAACTTCATAAATCAATTTGAACTGTTTTTTTCCTCATATCTCTATTATGTATTGCTACCTCCAGCATAAGGACTTCTTTAAGGCTGGTGACATATTGAATGTATTACTGTGCTTAAATCACAATAAACTTATCTCAGAATTAAATGGTTATTAAATGCTCTAAAACTCTTCATTTGTTTAAAAAAATGTAGCACCAAAGCTTGCAGGTACTGAAGCACTGCTAAGCTCATCTACATGCGACCTCAAATAATTTTTCATGTCATTAAGCAGAACACAATTCCAGATTTATTTTAATAATTTATACATTGTTTCATAAATAAAAAACAAACGTGCGTTCAGCAGAGAGACCTTTTTTACAAAAGAAATAATAAATTATTATTTCTTCCCTTAAAGAGATCTCTCTGCTGAACACTTGTTTGGTTTTTATTTATGAAAGAATGAATTATTAAAATAAAGTTAGAAGTGTGTTCCGTTTTAATGACATCAGAAATTGTCTGAGGTTTCTATAGAATATGTGCTTGATTTTTATTTCCATGAAAATTCTCCCATAATTATTTTTTTTTTTTACGAAAAACCTCTGCAGTAGTTGGGGGTGATCTGTCTTTCACACAGGTTCAGAAGAATTCACTGTTGTTTATTTAATCTAAACTTGCCTCCCTGTCTACATCTTGTGGGAAAAAAATGCACAAAGGAAACAAAATGTCATGTAATTTTGTAAATATTAGAAGGTACTTGAAATAAATCCATATGCATTATTCAAGTTTTTAACTCCTTTCTCCATTGTTTTGGGTCACAGATAAATGACATCCTGGTATTTCTGCCTTCCTTTGTCTCCTTCTTATGTAGCAAACAGAGAAGGGAAGGACAAGCACAGGTACATACACACATACTTGTCTCCACATAAAGAACCAGTATTTCAGCTCAATTATATACTAATCCTTCTGATTAATCAGAAAAAGAGCTGATACCTAATTGTCAGGACTGAAGGGAGCCTGACTTGCTTGGCTAATAGTCTGCAGAACTGAGCAGGAGGCACATACTGCTGGGTCCTGCTTTACCCACTTCACTCTGAAGCACTGGCAGAGCACATCAGCTTCTCAACTTCAACAATACAAGAAAATATTCCAGCAGCCTCCTCCCACCAAGCAGCTGCATCTGATTGCAGAGGAGAAGGGAACACCCTTGGCCTATGCAGCCAAAGGCCTCGAGACAAGGTGGGACCCACACTGGAAGGAACTCCCACAAGGGACACAGACACCAGAAGCAGGCTGGTGCTACATTCTCATACATGCTCTCAAGCACCAGATGTGCACCTTCCCCTCCCATCAGATGAACCACCACATCCAGATGTGGGAGCTGTTACCAGCCTTACTGGGGCTTGAGATACCAAAACCAGAACTCTAAAGGAAAGGCTCATCCTGGCTCTTACTGTCTCACTGACACAGGAAGACCCACAAAGGCACTCCAATCTTCCATCACTATCATGGGGGACAGACGCAGGCTTGCAGCTGTGTAAAAGAAGACCTGTGGTGGCAACATCTAACAGGGGATGAGGTGGAAGGAGAGCTGGGTTTCATCTGACGTGCCTTAAGGCAAATAAGCACCCAAGGTCCTCCAATTCAGCTCCCCCCAGTGCTAGTGCATAAATGCATATGTATCCAGGGACAGCTCAGGAAGCCCTAGGGAGGACAACTGGCCAGTTCTTTTCAGGTGCCTCTAGGCACACCTCTATCTTTGTGTATGGATGCATTCAGTTCAAAACACAACCCAAAATATTAAAAAAATACAGACAGCTTGGGTCCATAGGAGGTAAAACATAAGCTAAGTGTGAAATCAGTGTAAGACTCCAATAGGATTGCTGGAGTTTCAGTATTAGGTTACTCCAGATACTCTTCCTGCTGAGACCTACTCACCAGTAGTGAGTAGCTTGAAATATTTAATTTCTGAGTGTATAAAATCCAGGAATAATAAAAAAGAAAAAAACAACACTACTCCTTTTTTCTTTTCTTTCCATTTTGCCTTTGAATTTCATCTGACTCACTTCTCCCTGCTTTCTCAGATCATTTCAGTGAGGTGTAACAGAGAATCTGCTGCAGAGTCCTCAAAGGACCATCCTGAGATCTTTTCTCTCTATATCTACACAATGCAGTCACCTGAGATCAGCCCAAAGGAAAACAAATGGATAAATATTTCTTCCTGCTGGAGTAGTGAGGAGAGAGATGCTATGAACCACTGCAGATAGGAAAGCCAGTGACAATGATGGGGATGACTATCTACATATCAGACACTCAGACACACACCTCTCCAGTTAGAGGATAAGGCAGATGGAAACCAGTGATTTTTTTCTGCCATGTTATTTGAGAACAGGCCTGCTCACTCAGAGAAATACAGCAGCAAAAGCCTTGGGGGACAAAGTCAGAGGGGCTGCATACCACAGCAGTGTGAAGCAAGAAGCTTTAATTAAACTTGCATTTAGACTCATGATCTTAGACAGCTTGGGGATTAGCCAAGCTCTCTCTAGTTCATGCTGCCTACCCAAAATGTGCAGGAGAGAGGATGAAGGGGAAAAGAAAAAGCAATCTGAAAACAGGACAAAGAGTTTGTTTAATACAAACATTATAAATATAATATGAACTAAAATCGGGGCAAGGCCAAGAGGTTTGGCAGGAATTCAAGGCATTGAAGCTTGCAGAAAAAACATACGGAAATTGTATTCAAACACACAAACGGGGGCTAGAAAGCTCCAGAGACCTACCTGTGAGAGTCCATGCAGCACTTCCAAAATGACCAGCTAGGAGATGCAGCTCTCTCACATACTAACTCCATCTTCCCAAGAAAAAATATCTTACCACTTCTAAGTGTTTTCAGACACAGTCTGTAGGACATGTAGTTGCTCTACGAAGTCCTCTGTACAAATGATAGTTTCTCCTCACCAGCCACATAAAGGCACAATAGGCGTGGATTAGCAGGGATCTGAGCCTACATAACACCTGGGTTATCTGTAGAGTGAGCATCTTCCAATATGAAGAAAACTTGCCAGCCTACAACAGTTTCTCTGCCTTCTTCTTTCTTCTCAGTCCATCCTTAGAGACCACACTCATCCTAAAGGAGGACATGTGATAATATACTTACACACATCCTCCAACCCCTCCCAGGAACCTACCTCTGGACAGAAAAACTCACAGACAGCACCAGAGGTTGTCCTCAGTGGATGTCAGTGCTGGTAACTCTCTGGAAGTTGTTATACCAAATAGGGTTTTGACCTCCTTCATTCTTTTCTGCTACTACACAGTGTTTCCATATGCAAAGGTGCCTGAGCTGTCTGACCAGTCAGGAGTAAGGCAATGCTAAAGCAAATACCATTTTGGGACCAGATAAAGTCTATCCATCTCCCTACCATGCCCTGAGAAACAATGCTGAATAAGTCTATCACAGTCACCATTCCATGGAGTTCCATTTACCCATCCCAGAGCTACCATTCTGCTCTAGACCATGACTTGCCTATCCCTGCAAGGAGCTGCACTCCAAGTGTAGTTTCCCCTTTCCTACGTGGTGAAAGCTGCTATGTCCCATAGATATGTCAGTCACCCAGATGATAAAAGGAGCCCTCTCCTCCATCACTCATGGAAGGACGCAGTATTCTTGTTCCAGAACTCAGTACTTTCTCAGCAAAACAAAAGCTTGCTGTAGGCTTGACGAGAACGAGATTGTTTCTTTCCACACCCCATCACCCTCAATAAATCAGTGAGATGCCCTTCAAGTACTTCTAAAACATTGTGGGGGTTTTTTCATTGAAACATTTTAAACCCTTCCTTAAGGACCAGAGAAAGGCCTTGAGATTTTTTACCACAGGTTTTTGTTTCAGATTTCTCTCCTGTCTGATTTCCAGACAAGGTGTTAGTCATGCATTCTGTCAGAGAAACACAGCAACTGCTTTCACCACCATGAAGCCCTAAGGAGGGACTGCTCACCCTAAGGGAAGCTTGTATTTCTGCCTCTCACCTTTCCAATGAGATGTTTAAGTTAGCTGACCTCAAGGTGATGAGAGGTAAATGCTGGTAGGTGCAAATTTGTGCTCCTTGAAAGCAGGATATGACTTCTCCTTTATTATGGGCTCCTCAAGCTGATTGTTAATAAGCTTATGTGAAAAAGCAAGAATTTTCCCCTGGGTGTTGTATACAACACAGCACTTTTGCTCTTACAACACTGGCTAAAGGAACCCCCTGTGTATAAAACACTCAGGGGACCAACATGGTTTTAGAAATCCTCCAGTCTGTTAGCAACTGGGATTCTTGACCTGGCATATCTAATCTAGTGTTTCCTGAGTGTTTTGCTCCAGTACATCATATCTGACTCTCAAAATTTCTCAGACTACGTTTCACTCACAATGTGATTTTTCAAACTGAGCACCACATCAAGACAAAAGTTCTTTCAGTTGCAAACTAATTACCACACACACGGTTACTCTTAACACTATTATATGGACTGCACTCTGGGATCCACTGATCCAGGCTCCAATCTTAGTTCCATTGAAATCCTTATTAAAGCTCCTCCTTATCTTCCTGAGACCAGATTTTTTCCCCAGGTCCTTTGACCACCTGTTTTAGAAGCATCTTTTGACTGTGAAGCAAAAGAAATCTTCATGCGAAGTCCCCTTCTGGAGCTTGCATATCAACGGCTTTAGTACATCAAGAGTTGCTCATACATTTTCCAAGCAGCATTAGAGCAATACTGCAATGAACATAGGTCACTTTCACAGGAACTACTAAAAATCAAAGCTAGTTAGTAAAAAAACATCCTTTCCCACAGGTAATTGTTCTAAAAAAAAAAAAAAAAAAGAGAAGAGGGCTAGAGAATCACTTGTCACACTACAGGTAAGAGGAAGAGTACAAGTTCTTCTAGCTACTGTGTTTGTAAGAATTTGATTCCTGCCTTTATTTGCCTTTTGAACCATTACTGAAACATTAGGAGCTGTCTGCTCAATTTTTCAAGAGCTAAGGAGTATCATTACAATATTGTATTTAATATTAACAAAGGGAAGTCTCTGCATTTACAGTTCTAATTCAGTATTATATTATCTCTTATGTGTTATCCAACAGAAATGCTTACCTGGTAGGAAATAAGGGGGTGGTGTAGTTTTGGTTGCGTTCTCTTCACACTCTTTCAGTCGCTTCTGCAGAGACGCAATTTGTCGACGAATTGCAAGGACATTGTTTTTGTCCAGTGACTCTAGTTCACTTACCAGTATAGTCAGATTGGTGATCTAGAGAAGAAAAATAGACAGCAAGTTTAATGTGAACATTATAAATGAAAAATTATAACATTATGAATGATAAATACTGGAATGGTCTGTCCGGGGAGGTGGTGGAGTCACCACCCCTGGATGTGTTTAAAAAAAGAGAGGATATGACACTCAGTGCCATGATCTAGTTGAGGTGTTAGGGCATGGGTTGGACTTGATGATCTTGAAGGTCTCTTCCAACTTAGTCATTCTGTGAATTATTTTACAGATATTTGCAGGCAGTGCTGATCACAGAAGACACTACAGAAAAAGGTTCTAAGAAATAGGCCTTATCCTCACAGCCTCAGCTTGACATTTCCAGCAGAGTATGTAACCACAAAGATATGCTTTAAGACTAAGTTGTATAACAGTATGCAAAAATAGTATTATTTTACTTGTAGTGTAAAACTATCCAGTAAGCCTTAAGAGTAAAATAGTACTTAGTCCAGCCTTACAAAAGTATCTGCAAATTTTATTTGCAAAGATAAATAGTGGTTTTAATCAGCTGCTTGATGATCTAGAGGACAAAGGAGCAAATGAGATTTCACTTTCCATCTTAAGTAATTATTCTCTCTAGGTGAGTGATTAACTACAATTTTGAAAATGTGATTTATAGTCTGCTAGGAAGGTGATAGTCTTTCCCACTTCTTGATTTCATATTGATTGGGCCACTGCCTTAGCAACCAGCAGCTAATTTTTTAATTATCTAAATTAAAGCACAGAGCCTTTCAAGCATGGCGGTCTGTAAATTAATATTTATTATAATAATTTAATCAGCTTGTGCATTTAACTCTATGCAAAACTTTTAACTTTCAGGTAGATATTTGGCAAAAACAGAGTAAAATCCATTTGCTATGGGGTTTCTTTACTTTTCTGTGCTCTGTATCAAGGAATAAGATGTTAATACACTTAAGGTCAAGCTTTCTTTTAATTTATGCTGATGAAATGCTAAAATAATTCCACTATCTGCAGTAGAGACAGACTGCATTTCCTCAACCTAAATACTAAAGGGAGAATAGACTATCTGTGTATTTGAACCCTCTGTGGCTGATTAAAAGACCTTGGCAATACCTCCAAATATATTTGCTCAACGATGGCATTGCTTCCAACAAGGCTGGGTTTCAGCTGAGTGACCAGTCTCTCTAGGTCACTGATTTCCACTTTCAGCAACTGGAAGTCCAGTTCCGTGTAAGATACACCACCCATCTCCATTTGCTGCACTCTGATGGTCAGATTGAGGATTTTCTGCTGATAGACTTCAATTCGTTTTGAGTACTCCCTGACCTGAAGGAAAGAAAAGAGATACATATTCAAGTCCAGGTTCATAAATAAGACAAGCCTCTTTGACATCCTTATTCTATTTCTGAGTACTCTATGCATAGCTTCCACATACTTGCCATATATATTAGTCACATAAACTCCATAAATTTAATTCTCATCACACACATTAAAAAATATGAAATTTAACCCTCATTTATTGTTGGCAGTTTCACAAAATCCCCTCAGGAATGCCTGGGGATAACTGAAGGCAGAATTTTACTCAGAGTCTTCAATTTTTTTAATTCATTGCCAATATTGTCTCTGTGAGCTAATTTTATCCTCAGTATGCCAAGAACTTACATTGGTGAAAATTTTATTAGGAAATCTGCAGAGAATTATCTCTCAAAAGCAACCAGAGAAAGCTGCAAAATGCAATAAAGAATTCCCAAGTTTTTCAACTTCATTTCCTATTAACTCTGAATCCAAATAGGACTTTACCCTGTGTACATTTGAATTGTGTCAAACGTTGGCAGAACTGATTTGATGCTTTTCTTTGGGCAGGGAGGAAATATGTAAACACAGTGCTAAAAATCAAATCTGGTTTAAATGAAAGTGTTAAATATATGGCAGGCGTTAGCTGGAGTAATTTATAGAGCAGCCTTTTGAGTCTTTGAATCATTAAATAGTTGTCCAGATAAATATATTTTCACACATATCTGCTGAGGTAAAGGTCACAGCACAACATTGTGAAGCAGAATGTTAAGAATATTATATGGACTTGGGACTTCCCTTGGAAATGTTAGTTCCTTAAAATTTAATGCTTTGGTAAAGGGGCATAATTTCCCTCCCATATCCTTCATATATCATTATATCACAAAAGATAAGTAGGAATAAATATAAATTGTTTGTTGCACTAGTAACTTCATATTTATGCCCTCAGATGGTATTTGTGCCTCTATCTATAGCACTGTCATTTCCATTACTATTATTTCTTCAGCTGAGAGACTTAACCTACATCTTCTCAAGCATTCTTGCATTATCTCAACATTAAATAAAAGTCAGTACTTTTTTCCCCATTGTCTTGGAAACCCTGCCATGGTGTGAAGACCTTGGACTCCTTGTTTTTCTGCTGTGGCAGCAGCACTTGAGACAGGGACCCAGAAAAACCCCACACTTATTACATAATTCCTTTCAATCTTGATTGAACCCCTTGTGTACCAAAGAGGAGGTATAGGAGTTCATGGCATGGAAATTTGTGAAGAGGATCTTTTAAATCCTTATCCTTTAAGATCCTTAACATAAGTTTAGTGATGTGGATTAAAGAGTAGAAGCATAAGAGTAGATCCTCTTTTCAGAAGTATAGTTCTCAATAATGGCACAACTATACTATAAATCTTAAACCACTACAAAAACCCTGCATGGACATACACAGTATACACCAAAACCAGGATGCTCAGTTCCATGTATTTAAATTTGAGCTTGAAACAGATCTTCTGTTCTAAATGTGTGCAGCCATACTTGGAGCTGTTCAAAACTGTCAAGTTTCCACAAGCTGTAGCAGAAGCACCCTGGCACACAGCACTGGATGCTCTAGATCTCCCAGACCAAGCCAGGAAAACTTGAAGTTATACAATTAAGAGTCAAAAGTTATACAATTCAAGTTATACAATTAAGAATCAAAACATAACAGCCTAAAAGACTTATACCTAGTTCCTTGTAACTGGCTAGCAGCAGTGATGGCTGGGATTATTTGCCCTGGCTGCCACCATCATCTGTTAGGGAATAGCAGGAAGAATCAATCCTTTTGGAAAAGTCAGAAGTAGCTGGACCTCAAACTTTCACTGATGACCAAAATCACTTTGGCATTGAAAAAGAGCCTAAAAAAAAAAATCGTCTGGAAAAATTATTCAAAGGCAAATGTTTAAACTGTGTGTCGAGAGTTTGTTCAATGATAACAACAAAAAAAATAAATAAAAAATAAATATTATTACAGCCTAAGAAGAATGAAGCAAGCCTATTTTTGAGCAAAATTGCACTGCTGTGTGAAGCTATGTCTGTCACAGAGCATCCAGAAATCTGTCTAGGTATTAATAACCTTTCTCACAGTAATACTGGTAATGATTAATAACCTTTCTTACAGTAATACTGGTGATAATAATGCAATATAGACCAAATCTGCTAACCACTGAAATAAACAGGCTGCTGCAATTAGTGATGGCTACTCATTAGCGAGAAACCTGTGAATTTGAAGTTTTCTCCGGGGTTTTCAGAGCCTGGACAAAATGCTGAGGGCTGGAACAAGGCATACATAGTTATTTCAGCCCTGACTGCAGAATGCAGACTTGAAGTTCTCCTCCCATATTAGAGGATTTTCACTCAGTCAACCATCTAGGTCATTTAAGGACATGTCAACACCATCCAGCAGAGTATAGCTGAGCCTGAACTAGCACCATCACTCTGCAGTGCTCTGCACAGCCACACCAGCATCGCAGAGAACTTAAGCTAATAGCTCCCCTGGTGAATTATTGGACAAATAAAATTTTCTCAGCAGTGCTGCACTGACAGGTCTATGCTGCTTTTGCAGATAAATCCAGCACATATGTTAAGCACTGCAATGTTCTGTGTGGAGATTCCCACCTGCTTAGATCTGTTTTAGGAGTTTCCATGGGTTAGAAATATCAGACGAAAAAAGATCCCGACATTGCTCTGTTGATTGGCAGATAGATTTAAGCAGCTTGTAATCCTTGCTCTTCTACTGCATCTACCTGCTATGGACTGGCTGTAGTCTCTTGACAAGCTGGCACAGAAATTCTATGCATGTCCTATTTTTAGGGATACAGACCAATAACTAGTACTCATTGCTGCTGCATTTGTCATAAAAGCCTAAAGTAGGGTATGATGTGTGCATAGGGCCTGGATTAGCCCTTTATGGGAAGAAAAGGGACCCATGTGAGGCATAGGTAAGGGGAAAAAATCCTCAGTTTCAGTTTTTTCCTCATTCCAAGCATTGTCACTTTCGTTTAATGAAAAGGGCAGGAAAAATCTGCAATGCTCATTTAGTGTGTCATTTACCTGCAACTGGTATTTATCAAAACAGGTTTTGTAGCATGCAAGCAGACATTTCTCCAGCACACATTTGGAGAGTATAGGAGGAAAAAATGTGCAAGATGAAGATTTAAAAGAAAAGATGTGGGAGGAATGAGGGAAGATAAGAAAGAAATTACAAACCCAGCAACTTTCTAAAATCACTCAGACCAGGACACTGTCTTCAAGCAGGCTTGACCTCTATAGATCCATATGGAGCAAGGCTGGCAGTCTGCCTTCTAAGATGGAGAAGAATTCCATTGCAGGTTAACCTGTTCTGAAAAGCAGGGAGCTTCTTTGCTCCTGTTTCTGTTAAGTGAGAATGTTGTGGCCATCATGTTGTTCTGAAAGGCACTTTCTCTCCTTGTGATCATGTGCTGATCCACCCTTGTTATGGAAGCGTCCTCTCCCCTTTCCTATTGAGAGGAACAGCCAATTCCCACTTTGCTTTAAAAGGTTAATTTTGTTCTGTAATCATAATTATGCTGGCAAAGGTTGATGTGACAGAGGAAAAATTAGTCTGGTATTTTCAGCCTACGGTTGGTACTCACTTGGCACATGAGAGCATCTCTTTATCTGCAAGCTTCCTTGCCTGCTGATTCTATAAAAGGACCCTCTTGCTTTTTGAATTAGCCAACAATCAGGCAAAAGGTTAATGATTCAATCAGGTTGTTTATCTGGGACTTTTAGCACATGGAAAGCATTCATAAGAGGGTCCAATCCTGCAGCTCTTATCCAGGAAAAGTTCCCATGAGCTTCAAAGGGTGTTTTAGAAGAGCAACAAAAGCATGGATTCTCAGAGTCAAAAAAATAAGCATCCACTAGAAATCCCCACTTCTGTGGGGAGGCTACGTTACATCTGAATGCAATTCCCTAGGAATTTTCTCAGGATCATTTCTAATAATGATCAATATTGAAAGCCTAGGTTTCCTCCACTTCATTATTTCCTATGGTCTCTATGAGTATTATCACGATAGAAGTAATATACAGGATTGCATAAGAAGCATTTTTTCTACAATTGGAAAGATAAAGAATTTTTTGAGCATGGAGGTTTATGCATGACAGGATCTCAGAATACTTAAGTTCAAATATGAATAGGGTAATGCTCAAAAACTCTCTTCTTTCTACAAAAAAAAAAAAAATAGGACGTTATGACTGAGAAATCTTACACACATCAATTTACATCAAAATTCAATCTGTTCATTTAAGTTTCTGACCTAAAGTGTCTCTTTACACATATCACACCAAAATATATGTCACACTTCAACTAGATGTATTGTAACACTGCTTGGCTGATTGGTCTCGACAGGATGAAACTCAGTGAAGCCCAAGTTAGGACAAGAATTTTCACTGTCTGCAGCAAGAACTGCAAGTCGAGGTCAGCGTCTACACTGTGGCACACTGCTGAGCACAGAGAACACTCACAGCAGCCAGCACTAGCTGGCAGCCTAGAGATTAGATAAAGTCTAGGGTGCAAGCTCAGCCTGAACTTAGAGGTGAGTTTCAGATACAAATATGGACACCTAATCTTAGCTATTTATAGTAGTAACGTGTCTTTGTATGAGCAAGATGTCTGAACTCATTGGAGATCTGAGGTTGTCCACACAGAGAGGTCAAGCAGCACTTGAGATGCTCCCATATCTACCTGGCACTAGCTTAAAGGCAACATGCACCATTCTGAGGAAAATACCAGTACAAGAGAGGTTACAACAGTGCAAGAGACTGGGAAATGTGGTACAAAAGCACCTTGAAGAATCATGCCAATTTTTGGGTGGGAATCATGCCAGCCATGCCGTCCCAGCACAGTTACCTTCAAATGCTGGCACTGACCACAGTGGGAACAGTATGGGGGCCTGAAATCTCAGGGATTTTCATGGCTCATTAGCCCTGAACTGCACTTCCATGCTCCAAGAGATCAGGTAACCCCTGTGCTTGGAGGCAGCAGGACTTCTGACAGTTTGTCCTTCATATGCCTGCTGACAGCTGAATGTGTTTCACTGTTAGCTCCAGCTCTTTCAAAACAAACTATTTGAACTGAAAGATCTTACCACAGGATCCTACGCCTGTTGTTGTGGGTTTTATGCACAACTTCTTATCTGTTCTTGATTATACCAGAGGAGGGTTATGAATATTTATGATGAGAATTTATAATTTAATGCTTTGCCTTTTCTGCTGATTAATTCAAGGACACTTCATTTCTTAAGATGCTTTCCAAAGAAAACACTTTCTGCTGGACATCCAATCTGAATCCTGAATATTTATCCACCATAAAAAGTCAACGGCAGATTTCTTCACAAGCAGCTTCACCCAGTGCACCTCAGCATGTGTAAGTTTGCCCGAGTTCCTCAAAAAATGGAACTCAATTCATGCAACAAGCAGTCAAAGCAGTATGTGTTTATCTTCAACAGAAATGCATAATTCAGCACTCTCACTGCCACATCTTCAGATGTTGACAAGAAAGATTTTTTTTTAAATTTATTTACTTTTCCCTGTGAAGCAGTGAAGGGGCAATTATTCACCTACTTCTTCACTCTGGGCTGTGGTGACCTTTCTCCTCTTTCCCTTCACTGCCTTCTCACAATCTGGCTGGCTTGATACAAATAATAACACATGAAAGAGCAGGAGGCTGGCTTCCTATAGCATCGTGGAGCAATCACAAACTAATAAAACTGAGCTAAAAGGAAAAACATAACCACTCTTCCAAAACATACCATATGTCTCTAGCTGAAAAGGCCTAGAACCTGAGAATATTCAAATTTATGACATGTTACAATGTCAAAGATTAGAGATTTAATCACCTTTCTCCTTGTTCTTATGTAGCCCTCTTTCCCACTGTTTGAAAGACACACCACAGAAAAATGCTGACTCCTGTACTTTTTCATAGGCAACCATTCTTCAGAAAAGATGCAACTGTTATTTTTAAGACAAAATAACATCTTACTTTAGAAAGCTCTGCCTCAAACTTCTCCGAGAGCGTTGTGGCTATGATTTCCAGTTGCTCAGCCTTCTGCACTGGAAAGGTGGTATCCGGCAAGTACACAGAGCACTGACAGGTTCCCTCATCATTCACAGAGCCGGACACATTGGCAAAGAGCTGCAAAAACAAATTGGTAAGAAAAAAAGTGTCAGCATTCTTCTCTAGAATCATTACCTAATCATGTCTGGCAATAACATGAGTTGTGCCAATCAGAAGTTTACTAGTCATCTTTCACCTTTTTCTTCCAAGGAACTCAAAATATCTAGCAATTTTTTTGACTCATCCTTACAAATCTCTCTAAAAATAGTTAAATGTTGCATTAAAGATTTTACCATTGGAAAAATGGAGATAGATAGTAGTCCTTACTTTCCCAATATTGTGGACAATGTTCCTAAGATAATGAAATAACTTTTCCAGCAGATAGAAAAGCAGGTAGCAAAATAAAAGCAGGAAAATAATAATGTAGTAAGTTAGGTCTTACAGCTACTATTCTGTTCATCTGAATTGGACAAAACATTTAGTCATTTACATCATAGAGAGGAAAGAACTGAAATAGAACTAGTAACATGGAATGTTTTGAAAAGAAAAATCTTTCATTTGAAGATTTGCAGCCCGCCACAGCAGACATATGCATTAAATTATACACCACTGAAAGGTGATGAATTAAATATGCAGTTTTGGCCTAGGGTAGAGATTCTTATTTTCCTACAAAATATTGCTCATAACACCCACACATCACAGCCCGCACATCCATCCTTGTGGAGAGTTGGCAAAGCTCTTGCCCATGAATTGCCTTGTCCCAGTTGTCTGCATGCTCACAGCATCATCACTGAGCAATGCGCAGGAGGGACAGAAAGGTCAGGGCTGGCACCTCCTGATCTTGCCATAATTTACAGCCAAGGCACACTGTAGTCTATAAACACCAGGCTGAATACTGAGTGTGTCTGGAACAGCTCTTTTTTGTTTGTACACAAAATGTTTCCAATTCATAAACCTATCACGAATTTATTAATAAAGATATTTGATGTTACTTTAAAATATTCTGGCACACACTTCAATGCAGCTGCATATTTTAAAGCTACAAACTTGCTCTTAAAAAACACTTTTCTATAATCTCTTCTCCTGCCCTGCAGAAATCACACTGTTATTCCTGTGTTTTCTCTTTTTCTTCCCCTCTTAAAAATAAAAAAAGCAAACAACAAAACTATGTCCTGAGAGCTGACATTTCAGCACTTCTTCGCTTGCTTTTTCACAGTGGTTTCAACTAATGTTCTTGCTGAAAAACCAGCCCAGAACACACAGTGATGACTATCAGCAAAGTTGTCTTGATCTGTGAGCCCAAAAAGAGAAGAGCAGAACGCAGGAATGCTCCCAGTTCACATTTCTGGCAACCTCTTTACTGCAGCCACAACAAACAGCATGCCTCTCATTTTGAAAGAAAGTGTGGAAAGTTGTTTTATCTGTGTTATTCAAGCACCGTGGGCCTCAAAACTTCACTCAGACTGCTGAAGACATTTAACATGAAAGGAAGCAGAAAAGTATCTTATGGCATTCCAGAATGTCCCAGCCCATAACTTCCATTGATTTCTCTGCCAGGCAAGTTACCAAAGCACTTCTGAAAATCCCACAGAGAATACATTATGTCTAAGTTTCCAAGTATTTCTGAATATATGGCTATCAGTATGTAAATTACTATAAAAAATTAGTTCCTAAGTCACTTAGGTGTTTCTACACCTCCAAGTCCTCAGTGCATTGGCATGGTTGGGATGGTAGGCAAGTTGCTCAGCAATAAAAAAAAGAAACAGATGGGAGAGACCAAAAGAAGAAGTAAACGTGGCTTAGTATATGGGAGCTCCTCTGAGACTGTTGCACATTAGCATGCTAATTTTTGTGTGGAAGGTATTGTGTCCTGTTCCTTCTGTGTGTAACACAAGTATGACTACATGCATACAAGAGAGAGGATGCTATACATTGTATAGCAATAGCGTTTACTATACCTTTGTATGCATTATACACCCTGCTGTAAACTAGTCTCAGCTGTATTATACCAATCGGTTTTCTAGACTTACCCTGCCTATTCGATGTGCTAAAAAAAAACATTCATAAATGTATTCAGATATCTCCCAAAAAACCTCAAACTCATGCTTTTAATGTCCCTGTGAAAAACAATCATTATATTTTAACATTTGAGTTAGAAGGGAGCTTTGAGTTGAAGGCAGAGCTTCACTGCAGTAAGTACAGCTTATACTGAAGCCAACAGCTTCTCCAAAAGAGTGGAAACAGCCTGGGCAGAACTGCTTCCATTCTTCCATTGACATTACAAACACCAGGATCATGATGTTGACAAGAGCAAGAAGCATTGTTTAGTTAAAAGCCCCTTGGGTCAATAAGTGCTTCAATCAAAATATAATACCAGCCAAATGACAACCATGTAACAAAAATGTCTTCCGTCATCCTGTAGAAAAATACATGAGATAGACTGCTACTTTTGATGGAGTTGTATGGTTTTTAAACTTTAATAATTTATACAGAATGCTTAAAGAGAGAAAACTGTCCTAGCCTACAGCAAGGACTTGACAGCAACATTTCACTCTGCAAAATTAAGCTGTTACATATACATATTTGAAGCTATGAGAAATGTTCCTTTTCCACATCCCTTCAAATTAACAAAGGGAGTAGGAGCAAGCAGTTGCTCAATTTTCTGAAAATCAGGGTATTTGTCGCTGTAGCCTAGTGACATTCACAGCTCTAAATTGGCTATTTGTGCATCCTAAGACAAAGAATGGGATCCAAGAAAGCACATAGCAGGGCCACATTAGGGACAGAAGCCACCTCAGCTGGGCAAGGAGATGGATAAGGTTTGCATTCTGCTAATCACACTCTGAAAGAGAACCCTGTCTCTATTTAACTTTATAAATGCTCTACTGGAGCCAGAGACTCAACTCTGCCTCAGAAGAGGTCCCTCCACACACCCCATATGCCAAACTGGGCTTGCCTGGACATACAAAAGACCTGCTGTGAAGCTGAACCTGTGCTTTGGATGAACTTTTTTTTGACAACGATTTGCAGACCCATACAGAGCAGTTGTGACCCATTGAATCTGCTCCAAAGTGAACATGTTATTAAACAGCCACTGATAGAAAGAGGGAAAGAAACCAAACTCTGAAATCTGCAGGTAGTGGACTTAAGCACAGAAAAAAGATTCAGGTCCCTCTATTACCAAATAGCTGATAATATTTTAACTAGGTAGAGCAGAGAGAATCAAACTTTTCTCAGTCCCAGCATCCACAACGGGCACTCTTCAAAGGATAATTTCAAGGCCCTGTTCTAGTTTATGAGGGAAGACTTCCTCAGGGAGACTGTAATCACCAAACTGTTTGCCACATTACCATTAAATCCCCAGGGCCCCATCTGTTTCATGTCTGTGGTCCAGTTCAGTAGTCACTGGTTCATGCCAAGGTTTTGGATCTAATTCAAGGCACTGAATGACATGGTAACAGGAGCGATGATTGTGGAGATTCACTATTTCCTAAACTACTGGATACACAACACATAAATGCTTTTTCCAGGCAGCATAACTGGCTTACCTGTATCAGAGTTAAGTCACTAAGTGACCATGTAGCATTTAAAGAAAAGGACATAGGTTCCTAAATTTGGTCTTTTCTGGACTATATTGAAGAATAGTAATGGTTATACCTTTGGGGAAGTGTGCGATTTGCCAACCACATTCCTAGGCTGAGTCAGATATGGAAGCATTGTACTGAGATGAGCACTCTGAAAAGCAAAGGAAAGATTTTTTTTAGTGTGATTTCCTGCATGAGGCATCATCCCTTCCCCACCAGTCAGCCCCCATCCTGCAGCTCCAAAGCACTTTGATTTTATTATGGGAGATATTCTGAGCAACTGTAAAATTTCTGATCTGCCGCTGAGGAGACAGTTTCCCTGGACACAATGTCACTTCACAGACACCTCTTCTTGAAGAAAGGCTCTGTGTGACCAGAGCAAGCTCAGCCTGTCCAGGAGGTGTGAGCTGAAGACGTGACAAGCAGCTGCACAGCTGCAGCAGATTGCATGGCAGTTTAAAAGGACAGTGCCATGTGCCTCTGCCCTAAATCCAGAGAATACTGTCCTCCCAGAAGGAATGTCCCCCCCTCACCACCCAGCTCATGCCCCAGACTCTAAGCAGAGGACTCACTGCCCCTTTCACACCAAGTTGTCAGACTGTGAGCTGCAATGGTTGGGAAACTTGTCCCACTCTGCTACTTGCACCATGGAGCTGGCAGCATCCTACCGTGGAGAGGGAGCACTGGAAGAAGACTGGAAGAAGACACCACACTGCCACGGATACAGCCAGATCCACCTTGGGAGCCTTTTATGCAATAAGAACACATATATATTCCCTATAACTTCCATCTGTGGCTAATGCCTGCCTTCCTGCTGCAGCAAGGACAGCAGCTGTCACCCTGGCAGCATACTGGGGGTTACCATGGCCCCACATAGTCTGAAGAGCACGGTGCATTCCCATGATGCAGCACACTGTAATGGGATCTCACCAAAACCTGGGTCAAACTGGGAATTGGAGCAAGACACCCTCAATGTCAAATGGTGTAACAGATGGAGCATCAAATGGGCTTCTCCTGCAACAGGACACTCACTGCTGCGTCTTTCTGCATTTCCCAAATCCCAGCTGGAACCCTGTTCCTGAGCCAGGGGATAGTGGGGAAATCCAAATGGCCGGCAAAGGGCAGGTCTATCAAGTGACACAGTGTAAATAAGCTTTGTGGGACAATTTGTCAAATAACCCTCTTGAACAGGCACTTGTGTGCTCATACAATTACATTGAACATGATGGGCAGCTGGTAGCAATTAACAGTGTTAGGGCAGAGAGCATCACAAATTGTGCAAATTACACAAAGTGAGGACTAGTTTAAAGTTAAGCAGACTAAGGAAGACTTTCTCCCCTATTAAGCTTTCTACCCTCAGCTTATCAACATATATTTACACCTCCATCTTGAATTTTGCAACTTTTCATTCCTTGAGCAGATAAAAGCACCTTCCCAGGAGGTGCTAACTTCACTGCCTGCATCCACAACACTCCCAAACTTAAAAAAATGCAA